CTCCCTTCATCACTTTAAGCAACCTACAGAAGCACAATTTCTGCCTCTGAGAATTTTAGAACCATTTGCACAATGCTGTGGATAACGCTGGCTTTTCCTATTGCTCCTTTCCACTGCTGAGTTTATCTCCATCCCTCCTGTTTTTGCCAGGAATCCCTTTCAGGCAGGCATCCTTCTACAGGATCTCCCAAGAGGGAGATTAGCCATGGCCTTGGAGATGCAGCATTGGATGCTATGCTTGCTATAAACCCTCACTGTCATAGAATCATAGAATCATCTAGGTTGGAAAAGACCTTTAAGATCATCCAGTCCAACCATTAACCTACACTACCAAGCCCACTCTAGACTAATCAAGGGTAGACCAGACTAAACCATATCCCGAAGTGCCACATCTACCCGTTTTTTAAACGCCTCCAGGGATGGTGACTCCACCACCTCTCTGGGCAGCCTGTTCCAATGCTTGACCACCCTTTCCGTAAAGAAATTTTTCCTAATTTCCAGTCTAAACCTCCCCTGGCGCAGCTTAAGCCCATTTCCTCTTGTCCTATCGCTAGCTACTTGGGAGAAGAGACCAACACCCACCTCACTACAACCTCCTTTCAGGTAGTTGTAGAGAGCGATAAGGTCTCCCCTCAGCCTCCTCTTTTCCAGGCTAAACAACCCCAGTTCCCTCAGCCGCTCCTCATAAGACTTGTTCTCCAGACCCTTCACCAGCTTCGTTGCCCACCTCTGAACACGCTCCAGCACCTCAATGTCTTTCTTAGCCTGTCCTTAGCCTTACGCAGCGCCTGAGTTGGCAGAGACCATTGTGTTGCTTTTAGCAGCATCTCTGGGTGCGAAGCCACTCCTGGAAGCCCACTGAGGTCCCTTAGCCAGCGCGTGGGCAGCAGGTTGACTCCTTAGCTCTACACTTGAATGTCACCACTTGGTACAAGTCTGCTGCCTGACTTCCCTTCTCAAGGGAAACTGGCTGTGGGAAGCGTTAGAACATGAGTTCCATGTGGCACCTTTGAGCCAGGAGCCACTGGTGGCCATCTCTCTCTCGGCTAGTGGCATTTGCACCACCAGCAGTGGTAAGGAGCCTCCCAGAGAGGAGAGGAACAGGCCCCATTCTGCCCTGGGCAGCACAATACACTATTAAAAATGAGCCATTGCAAATGAGGAGCAGAGAAAGAGCCATTCTGGATTTGGCATCAGTTTCCAGGGCTTGTAGTTAATGTCTGCAGCTACCCAAGACTGTCTCTGCTGCTACCTCATCTGCTCCCCCCAGTTTACTCACTTAGATGTTTCAAACAGCTCGTCTACATAAGGGAAGCTTCCCCTGATGTGAGGATACTTGGAAACTTCAGTTAGCTTTGTTCACTCCAGACAGTCAAAAAATAAAAATCAAGAGATTTACTTAAAATGAGTCTTTGCTTTTATAAGTAATACACTGGGGGGAATTTCTCTGTGACTGCTGGTAGCTCAGGCCAGAGGACTCCAGAATCACATTTCCAAATGACTTTCCAGCAACTTTATGATATTAATTATGCAATTGTATAAATACACCATACAACAGCAGTAGAAGAACATCACTGAGCATGCATGAAATTCAAGCACTCAAACTAGAGAAAAGCCTAAAATCTGGGGGCCTATTCTTTCTCCAGAGCTTCTGTGCATAATAATGCCCCATCAAGCTATATAAATGCCAACTATTTTTTCCTCCAAGACAGCTGCCTTGCCGAGTGCCCAGAATGGATGATGCTCAATAAAGGAAATAGCTATTCAGTATTATCCTCATTCATCAGTGTTCGCCCAGTGCCTTATTTGTCATTCAAGCCCTGCTCTAGAACCAGAAACTTCTTCACAGGCATTTTCCTATGACCCTCACCACTGTAGTGAGTCAGGCAGTGCTCCCCAAACCCACACCACCCACGGTTTTACAGAAGGGGAACTGAGCAGAGCCATTAACCGCAGGGTTTGGCAGCAGCATGTGGCACCCGGGGTCGAGGGAAGCATAGAGCTACACAGTCAGGGAGCTCAGGGAAGGCAGCGAAGGAGCCACACCAGCCATGCAAATCACACACGCAGGTCCACAGCGCAGCAGGAGTGGGATGGAAATTAAAAAGATCCTATTGTAATGTATCAGTACAGAGGCACCGAAACAACAGCACGTGGGCAACAGCCCCATTTTGGGGGAAGCTTCATCCTTATGTCATGTTTTAACAGGTAAAAGAACTGACAGCACCGGTTACACTCAAACCTACACCAGAGCAGCACTGCTGCTACAGTGTGGACCTGGCTCAGAGAAACAAAATGTTTGCAGTAAAGTTTTCCAATCTCTTGAGACAAATGTCAGCTCATGCTATCTTGCAAGACAAAATTGAACCCTGGCTATTAGCCACACTACAGCTAGACAATTAATAGACATTTGAACATCTAGAGACTTACACTCTGGAGGAAAACCATGCTTAGAATGCAATATGTCAACTCAAAGAATGAAGTCCTCTGTATCTACATTTTTCCAGCAGTCAAGATACCTTTTTTTCTTTCCCGGAAGTGCCTCCTTTTTTCCAAATTAGATATAAAACATCCCTGTAGAGAGGAAAATTTCCCTGTAGCCATCCCTCATACAGACAGCCCTGCGAGCAATATGGCAGGGACTGTTCTTATGTATACACTGTGCTGCCTGAGGACTTTGACTTCTGTCAAATATAATCTAAATTCATTAGTTGTCTTTCCTCCCAAAAAGTCAGCATGTTCTTCTCCTGTCCCCTACATTTACTTATACTTCTTAGTCAACCCAGGCCTCCCAACTTTCTGCATCTTATCAGCCCCACTTGAAAACATCTTCTCCCTCCCCTTTTCTTTTTCTATCTAAACTTCCCTTCCACTTCCTCTCCCCTTTCCCAAAAAAACAAACCCACATTCTTATCCCCTAATAGGGGCTGATTCATGGTTTTGCGTCAGCAGCCACTCTCCTGGCCAGACCCAGCTTTAATGGACACATTTCAGCTGCTGCCAAGCGGTACATGACAACATCAGGGAAGCAGGGCTGCCATGGGCCCAGGCACTGGCAGCCTCGGGAACGAGAGGCCGGTGAGGGCCGGCATAACGCAGCAGAGCAGGAGAGAACATGCATAGTTGTTGCCTTCAGAAATGGAAAGGGAGATGCTGAATTCAGTCAGTTATTCCTCAGAGTGCAACACTGGGGCACACGCAAGACAATCAAGTCAAAAAAGGGAAGAGATGTAGGTTAAAAAAAAAGATCTGGGCTCAGGCTTTGGGTTTAATCTAGAACACTGGAGGAGGAAAAAAGGCAATTTTAAGAGTACTTTCAGAGCAAGGCATTCATCCAGCACTGTTCCCATCTAAACATCTTCATGGACCTGCTCTACACCAATACCTGCCCCTCTTCCTTTCAAAAACTTTCAGTCCACACGAGGCACACGTAATGATTCTGGAATATCAGTACCAGCCTGCAAGCTGTATTCAAACAGACACTACTCCTGTTACGTTGCACAAAAAGAACTGGATATTTGGACCCTGAAACAAAGCAATTAGAAGTCTGGGGTCTTTGCACATTTAATAAGGACTGCATGTGAGGTTCAAAAAGCCAATCCTGACCTTCTGAAGAAGCACGTTTTCCTGCCGCACCCAGGGCGCTCTGGATTGCTGCACTACTGAGGGTAATCCCAGGTCCCCAGCTCTGCCCCAAAGCCAGCCAAGGGTCCTGGAGAGCAGATGGAGCTGTTCCAAAGCTGCTGGCTCAAAGCCTAATGCTGGTTGGAGCGACTACATTAGCAATTGGAAGCAGTAGGCAACAGTGGATTCAGCTAAAGCCTCAATCTGGTTGCCCAGAAGAGTTTTTAGTGCACACAGATCTGTGAACATGAAAAAGACAAGCTTAAGATTTGTACACAGAATATAGTGAAGTTTATTCATATTAAGTACATCTACTTGCATCACTACTTGTCACATACTTGTCCTCCAGGATACTGAGTTCATTCCCACTTTAGGAGACAGGCAGTTTTTACTTGACATAAAATAGAGCTACCAATTTGTCTTCCCTGATAACGTATCACTGAAGCTAGCAAAACAATACAAACAGGATTTATTCAGTATAAACTGTAAAGAGATTTTCTTTTTACTGGTCTAGGGAGTTATGCACAAGGACAAAATGATTCCAAATATACATACAGACAGCTGGAATTCAAGTGTCTCCAATACCCACTCTAGGCAAAACCAAGATTGTTGGTATTTAGACACTTGAGTCCTGGTCCAGATTCCAATTCTCCCTGTATCCATTCAGTTTGTTAAAAATAAGCAAAATCCAACAACAGTCCTTTTAAAGGATAAGCAGATTTTGGCAAAATAACAGTGGTGTGGGAAACGGCTTGCTTCTGAAGAATGTGTCTGCTGAGTAAATAAACTTGGCCAGTCTGACCAGAGGAGTTGTGCAGCAAATGCACCAGACGTAAATTATTTCGTGCAAGTGCAGTTTTCCCCCTCTTGTACGCATCTGACTTGTTACTCCAGACAAGCACTGGACAAATAGATTGGAAGCAGTTCTGATGGACAGAGAGAATTTAGCTATGGTGTTTGTCTGCAAAAGTAAACCCAATGATAACCACAAGCGCACTGAAAACTAAAACAAGCTCTATAAAACAGTTAGAAAAACCAAATACCTTCACTGCTGAAACTGGCTCATCTATTTTTGGAAAACTGCTAGAATTGCCTTGCCCCGGAAGAACTTCTTACAAGCAACCAGCTTTATGTAACCAAAAGAGGAAAAAATACAATAAATCACATGTTCTTGCCACCTAATGTTGCAATCCTTTTGGTCAATTCTGTGTTCAAGTCCCCACCCCCCCAACTGAAAAACCCACACCACCTCCAAAGCAGGAACTGGCACCTTGTGATGATATATTTCACCTCCAATCTTACAGGCCCCCTCCAATATCCAGGGTAACTAACAGCTCTTACCGCCAACCTAATTACAACACGATTAAATACATTGTTCAATCATCAAAATCCGGGATATCGTCATAGGAATAGCCCCGGTAGCCTTTGGAAGCATAGTATGCGATGCGCAGGTGGTAGAAGCCTGGGAGAAACACAAGGATCCCAATGATGAGCACAGGGATAGCACGGTCCGTTCCCTGCAGAGGAGAGACATGCAAGTGCAGTAAGAAGAGATCTGTATGAGGGGGGTCTTTCCTTTTTCTTAAGTCCTGCCTCAACTATTCATCCCTAAGGCCTGGCTAGCTGGCAAAAAAATTCATCTTAAATTAGAAATATCTCAGTTTTCTTCAGGCTGAGCTGAAAGTCCTCTCCCTGGCATCTCCTCCTTGGTACAGGAAACCCTCAACTGAACTTCTCCTTCGGATAGGAGGGGTGGCTCCTCCTAACACTAATCAAATTACAGAAGTGCCAGCCACAGGCTGGGTGCCACATGCTTGGCTGAGAGCGAGCTCTCCTATCTGTGCCTGGACTGCTTCTGATGCAGCCAAAGCACTGCTGTTTCCACAGCGATAAGCAGCAGCTGCCAACTGCAGAGCAATTCCATAGGGCACAAGGTAAAAGGAGAAGCGTGCCGTAGAGGAGCACCAAGTCAACTACAAACAGATCCCTTTTCAATGGATCAGAAATACAGAGAGATGAGAAAAGTGGTGCTGTGTCCTACGTAGCCATCTGCTATCTCCTACAAAGTCACCAGATGATCTTCACTAGAAGAATGATGATCCCAGCATGAAGATTTTTCCAGGACAGCAAGCTGGCCGCTGCAGGGATGTAGCATTAAAATGAAACTGTACCCGAGGGAGGACAGAGAGACTCAGCCCACCCTGGCAGATCTCCAATCCAGCTATGAACCTGCTCCAGACTCGCTAACCAAAGACATCAGTGGGCTCTGCTGCCAGAGAAACAGGGCTGTTCGCAGACACCAGCAAGGCAGCGCACGGGATTACTTTCTTGCTTACAGGCTTTTTGCTCCGAATTTTTACACTGAACATGACTGTTCATGGCAGGCTTTGAGGAATGGGCAAGCAATGCAGAACTCTTAACAGAAGTGTAATCAAACCACTTACGCCTTTGCTGATGTATCCTGCCAAGAGGAGGGCTCCTATGATAATGAGGATGGTCCCGATCATGAAGAGCACAACAGCCAGTGCGATTGCCTTGTAGGGGATTTTTGGTGGGCTCTTCTTGAACTGGATGGAAAAAACCCCAAATATTAACCAGCTTAACTCAGCACAGTTCCCCTCCCACCTTGGCAGAGATGCAAATCCCACAGCTAGCAGAGATGACATGGGATAAACTCTTGCAGCAGCTCTGCTGCAGGGCTCTAAGGGCCCTTCTGCAAGGAATCCTGCTCATGGAGACACAGCTTCTGAGCCGGCGTTTATACCTGTTGCTTCCAGATCTGCTCTGATATTCACCTCCCTCCAAAGAAATGCATCTGACCCCATTAAACAAGCAATCTTGTTTCCAGTTAAGCTCTGTGGGCTTGCTGGAGGAGAAGGGCCGAAGTGGCAGCTCACAGCTAGCTTTGTACCTTTCTGAGCTGAGGCTGCTCTGCTGGAGGTGAAGAAAAAGCAGCCTCCCATGCACATATGCACACTACAGCAGCCTTTCCTAGTAGCTCACAGTCAGAGCAGCAGCAGAAAGAGGCTTTCTTCCCCACTTTTTACCTGCAGGTCAATATATCCATCATCAGTGCTGGATAACTTGGAATATTTGACTTTGCTACTGGGAATCCCAGCAGTCAGATTTGTACGTGATGGCATCATTACAAGGAAGCCTGGGCATCAGCTAGAACCTGGAAAACAAAGAGAATGGCAAGAAAAAAAAAATCAGTGCAAACTGGATGATGGAGTCTGAGACATGGATCAAGTTTGAGAGAAACCAGTGTCAAGCCTGTATTAACCAAAAGGCATCTTTGTTCTTTTTCATAAGTCTGTTCAAACAAAACTTTGTATTTAAGCCTAAAATACAAAAGCATGAATATAGCTGCAATAGGGTTTGCCAATATTTGAAAGCAAAGTTCAAACTGAGGTAGAACTTGTGTTTAAAACAAAATAGACCTTCCAGAACAATATACAATGTATAAAACCAGCTCATTTCGCAACAAGATCACACTTCCAGCAGGGAGATGTCTGAGGTCCAGCTATTTCTAAAGAGGGACAGTAGCAAATAAACCCAAACCAGAATTAAACAAAGCAGCTTTTTAACCATCCGGATATTTTGCAATAGATCCATCTTGGAAAAAAAAAAAAGCCAACCAAACCAAAAAACAACCACTAGAAACTAGAATGAAATGGAGCTGTCATTCCCAAAACAGCACGCATCATGACTCAGAGGGAGCATGACAAGGGGATGGAGTGGTTAGTGGGTGAGGTAACCAAAAAACCAGCAAGGAGCTAAAAAGCATAGGTCACTTGTCTGTCCAGCTGCGAGGGAGGCAGCGCTCAGGGTGGAGCTTTATTTAGTTACGCCAGAGCCGTACCCTGCAATTTCACCACGCCATATAGTCAAGCGCTGCAGTTTTGCTGCCAGCAGCGACAGTCACGGGAAGAGGGGCAGAGCTGGCTTTCTTCTGCACCTTGGAGCCCAGCTTCTCAGGAGCTGAAGCCTGGATGCAGCCTGCCAACACGTCCCTGCCCCACTGCAGAGCCACTGAGCAGGGCCCGACAGCTCCAGCCAGCAGGACCCAGGTGTTGGGTATCCGCTCGCCCACAGCCTGGAACCTGCACTGCAGCCCAGGGCCACGATTCCCAGAAGTGAGGCAGAAAATAGGCTTCCCACACTCTTCCAACTTCCAGAGCTTTTTTATTTTCTGAGAAAGTATGGAATAAAGAAAACAAAAGTGCATATCCCAACTGTTCCAACAGGAAGGGACAAAGATGCTTTTGCCATAATACTATTCTACATCTAAGGTAATAGCATCTCCTCAGAAATGTTTAGTCTCTCCACTTGAACTGAAATCCTTTGTCTCCCTCTTGCTGGCACATTCCCCTGCCATCAGGTTTATTCCTCCTGCAGTAAGTTTGACTTTTATAAGAAAACCCAAACCACAGTTGTACCTTTTAACTTGAACTTCTTGCTTTTTTTGCAGCAAAGCCCAAGCACAGACAAAACATTTCTAGCCCCAATGACAAGGGAAATATCGCCCACCTACAGGGTGGTAACACTCACATCCTCAGCTCCTTACACATCCCTGTTTTCAGGTCACTACTCCAATACCCCCCAAGGCCTCCCACATGCCCAGGGGTAGATGTGCAGGAGGGGAAGAAACCAAGAGAAATCAGCACATCTGAAACATGTCAGAATTCCTGACTCTGCCCCATTTTACACCAAAGTACCATGGGACTTCTTACTGACTGTCCTGTTATTTACCAGGCTATTCCTAGTGACTTCCTAGGAATTATTTCCAATTTACACTTGCATAAGTTGTCCTGCCCTCCCAATTACCTTGCTTACCAACAAGCAAGAGGCTATTAAGGACAAACACAAAAAACCCACCTCTCTCAGACCTCATGTTTAAGAGGGCCAGGTTCAAGTCCGCTAAGATTCACTCTTTGTGCTCTACATTGGTTCAAGCTCAGAAACAAGCTCTGTGCTGTGCTCTTAAAGAGGCAAATAAATGGTGAATCACGCTTGTAATTCAAGTTTTGATATGATGCGCTACGGTTGTGTTTTAAACAGTCAGAACCCGCACTGCTTGGGGGAAGGCTTCCAGGGTAGAGCGCAGGCTCACGAGGGGAGCTTGGCAGTAAATGCAAACATGGCACTTCAAGCCAAATTCCTGTTTTTCCCCTAAATAAAACCAGTATTTCTCTACCCTCTCTGCCCAGGAGTAAGGAAGGAAGGGGAATGTCATCTCTTGCCCTTTCGGGAGCTCAGATCTCACACCTAACACGATAAACACACCCGACCCCCCTCCTGCAGACACAAAATGGTTTCTCTGCTGCCCAACAGGAAGTTCACAACATGTCTGGGAGCTCCCCCAAAACTACAGGCTGCACACCCTGCCTCACCCACCTTAAAAATTAAGAAAAACACATTAGTAAAAGAGACAGTTACCTACTATTTGCGCAGCTGATCAAACCCATCTCTCCCACATCTTTTCGGCGCTGCCCCGGCCACAGAACAACCCAGGAAGTTTATTCCTGATGACAGCAATTTCCTTCCAGGTTATGGCAGGAGCCGCTCGCTGACTCAGCTCTGCTGGGTTATTTTCAGCCCCGCACTCCGGATCAGCAGCTGGAATTACAGTGCCCCTCGGCAGGCCGGCATGGACCGTGTCCTGGCCACCCAGGCCCACATCATGCAAGACCCACCAGAGCAGATCTGTCATTTCAGGGCTGCATTTGCAGATGGTTTATGAAAGAGCACGTTCACACACATCACTGCCACGCACACTTTAAAATGAAGTTGATTTTCTGAAGGAAAATCTGGACATAATTAAACTGTCAGACACTGCACAGCCCTCCTTTAGGGCTAAGTATGTGACAGACAAGATACAGCCAGAAAATGATCTCTAGCACCTGGAACAATATTAACACATTCAGGTGAAACACAGCTGGGGATCTACTTCCCCCAACTGCTCCAAACAAGGAAACTGCAGGAATTGCCACAGTTCCAGCAAGTTGTTAAAATACTGGATTTAGAGCCTGAAAAGCCTAATCTCCTTAAGTTTCAAAGAATCCCCCCTTTCTTACTTATTTTCTCCTTGGTAAGTCCAAATATGTAAAGATAGAAACTTCAAAGGCTTACTCTAACATGGAGAAACACACAGAGCATTTACTAAGACCCCTTTAAAAAAAAAACAGGGGGGGGAACATCTTAATTTTGATTATTTGGGTATGGCAATGGCAAAGTAAACTTTCAGCTTTCATAAGGATTTATCCAGAAAGCAGAGAGTGGCCAAATCAAGACACAAGTGCATAGATATGTACATTAAAGGATGTTTCTTACAACATGAGGCTACTCAACTTGGTCATTACAGCTCTAAAAATAAGCAATTAAACCATTTGGTTTATTTTTACCATGTGTTTGAGTAGAATAGCATAAATAATCCCCACTACAGCTGCAGGCTGCACCAAAAAGAATTTGCTTCAATCACCAGCCCAGCTTTACACACATCATTGAAAATCAGAAGCCTTCCGTATTTCAACATCATGAATCTTTGATTCTTTGCTGAAGCATGTATTTACTTGCTGTATGTGTGGGTACCAACAGCACTCCAACCCAAGAAGCATCACATTTGGAGTGAAAAACACCTCCCGGTTATCCAAGGTATCCACCACTAGTGTTCCAGGCACTACTAAGCAATTGCTTAGAAGCTCTAGGGCACCTCAAGATCTTGCTTTTGATCTGTTTTCTTACAGGTACTGAGTTAATCAGCAAGCCAAGACAGTTCAAGGGAATAAATGGGGGATGCTCTGGAGACACAAGACAAAGCTCAATACGGGAGCCAAAAACCACGCAGGGAGCTACCTGCACCCCAGCAGAAGAAAACCAGAGTCTAAACCATCTCTTGCAATGAAGCAGTGCTGCTCCCAATAGGAATCAAGGGCAGGGGCATTAAGAATCCTGTCCCCAGGCTTTGAGCAGGGACCAATTTCTATCACCACTCCTATCATTCTGACACAGCAGAATTTGTTTCTTAACCAGTACTGCCACCTTGTGAAATTCTTCTGCCAAATCAGCTGGGTTCTCCAGCTGTCAAGTTTGCAGGCACCCTGTGCTCAAGCTACTCTTGTATTGCTGACTGGTGGAAGTACACAGCCTCCTAAAGAAATAAGAATACCCACAGCACTAAGGAGCCTGTAAGTACTACTTACCACATAGCACTGATCAAGGCAAATTAATTGCTTTTCAGTGCTTCTTTATTTGTGACAAAGCAGAGTCACCCAGGTTCCAGATGGAGGGTAAGGATTTATGGCTAGCTGGTAGCAATACAGCAAGCAAAGAAAAAAAATACAATACCTGCCTGAAACCGTTTCCAAATCCTATTTTTCACAATCAAACCTTCAGGGTGAACCACGCTGTAAACCTTGTATCTTCATCAGTAAGTATGAACATGATCACAAACATCCTCGATTAGAGGGGCATTGCTGGTGGCGCAGGCGAGCACACACCACACTTGTCACAGACGTGTGTAAGGTGTGGGACAGAGGCACCCGATGAATGCAACACACAGACCTGTGAGGAGCAGCCTAACATTGATAGGCCAGAAGCAGTAGAGGCAAAAGCAGGAAGGGTTCACACAGCTCGCCATCAGACCAAGGAACTTTCAGTCACTACTACACCGCAGCGTGTGCCTACACACTCTCAGACTTCACCAGAGGCAGTGACAGCTACAGGACAGTCCCTGCCAGAGGCAGCTCTGGCTTCTGCCCAAGCCAATGTGTTTTTAGGAAAAACTGTTTCACAAACCGCCTCTGCTTAAAGGAAACAGCATGATGGACCAATTGGTTATTCAAACTGTAACCACACCCCCTCCATTTCAACACATCTAAACAATCAACACAGCTGTAAACTCCAGCACAAGAAAGCACAAGCTTGCCTATTGCAGTTGCTTTGAAAAAGGAGCTAGGGTACATTAGCATAGTTTGACAAAGCACCAATTCATCCATCCACATTTAAACAGGATAAAAACCATGAAATTACATTCTTTATTTCCATTTTCCAAGTTTCAGTTAGAATACCAGCTTCAAAAATAAATGAAGGTCAAACAAACTCACAGCATAACTGAACAGTAACCCTAGCCAACTACAGCTGCACAGGTGAAACTAGGAAACATCATGTTTACTCGAGTTAAATATTGCACCCCTTCTCCAACACAAGTTGAGAGGAGCAAGGTATTTCACCTTAAGACAGCACCTAAGAGATTATTGGAGTACAGAAATAGGAACTTTTCGGTTTTTTCTAGTCTATTTCCAATGACACCAGTATAGCAAAATAGTCAGTTGAAAAGTATTTACAGAGATATCTACACAACATGCCTAACAGTGCTCATCAGATGCTCCGATGCACTGAAATCGCTACCACCACCACTTCCTCCTCAAAGTCAGCTGTCCTCTCCGAAGAGCTGACCAGACCTCCCCCTCAGTCCTACTCCAATTACGAGCCTTCTTGTTGGTCTTCGATCTTTGGAGCCAGGTAGTATTTTAAGTGTCCCATATCAGCAATCTTGTACTCCACAACTGGGAAAAAGAAAAAAAACACATCATATTTGGAAGGCTCTTCAGAAAAGCCATTCAGTCAAGAGTTCTGAATGCAGTTTTAAGATGGCAGCGCTCTAAAAGATGTTTCAAGTATTGCTGCTCCTACTTACCAAGAGGAACATCCGCAGACATGCTGAGTGTTACTGTAGGTGACAGGGGAGTGGCTTTGGTAAAAAAGTTCAAGTACCTCAGAGCAAAGGTCAACTGGACTGGCTCATTCATCTCTATTGTAACCTAGAAAACCAGCAGCCAGGTTAGACTTCAATAAATGCAAGCTACAGCAAGTTCCCTCAAGTCTCTCTCATAATTCAGACACCTCAAGCAAAGGCTGTCAGTGCTACTCCCCGCTCTGTTCTGCTGAGCACTGCTCACAGGCCCCAGGGGTACAGACCTAAGCTGGCAACAATTTGTTGCCTCTCATCTATAAACCAGAGAAATACATGATCCAATGACCCAGCTTTAGCCCCCAACAGGCCAGAGAATTAGTCATATAGTAGAAACCTCAACACTGAAAACACCGCAGTAGCCATGAAGGCTTAACTTACAGCTTCTTCCTCTTTATCCACATTACTGGTCTGTGACAGCTTGATGTTTCCATTTCCCAGCTCTCCGTTAGCTGAAAATTTCACACCATCTTTTGCACAGGAGATGACAACTGCATCACCGATGTGGCTGAGATCTCTACAGATGCGTGCAAATTCAGCAGAAGGCATTTTTACTACACAACTGTATTCTTGTTCCTGCAAAGCAAGCGTCACAATTAAACTTCCACCGAGAAGCTGGGCGTAGTCACTACACTTGAGTTTGTGTAGTCTTTCCAAAGGAAGTTATGTTACAAGCTCAAAATATTAAGTCTGATATGAACATGGGAACACACCCATTTCTAAGAAACAGTGCAGTCAGTCATTCAAGCTGCTACTTACTGGAATTCCAAGCTGCTCCACGTCAAGATCCATTAGCTTCATCTCATAATCAGAAACCTTTTCCTGATCTAAAGAAACAAAGCATAGTTTGACCAAATGCTTCTGAGAAGCTATCAGCCTGAATTTTTGTTCCCCGCCCCCCAATTAAAAACACCTCAATTGTGACAGTAAGATCCACCTTGTTTAATTACTAGAAATCCAGAAGTGACCCAAACAGCTTTTGGTAGGCTGTAAGAGGACAGGAAGCTACCAAGGGCATCTGTGTGTGGCCTAAAGAAGCATTTTTCTCTTACAAAGAAAGCATGGGTCAAGCTGGTTACGCTTATGTCTCCAGCCTGTTCTAAGAGTTTAAGTATCAGCTGACCCCTCCCATTTCTGAAGCATTTCTTCTCACTCCCCTCCATCCCAGCATCTGCTCAGTCTATGAATACTACCTAGAAATATCAGGGTAGCAAATTAGTTCCCAAATACAACACTCACTTGGTGCTTCAAACACCAGAGCCAATGTATCCGCATTGTCTTCTGCTCGGAGAGTTATGATGTCTTCGTTTCCAGCACATTTCAGTATTTTGGACATGCTAGGGGGGAGAACAGGTAGGTCACTCGTAGGGTTACAAGCGGACAGAGCAGGAACACGGGCCCGCTGCCCGGCACAGAGCGCGCAAACGCGACTAGCGGGCAGCACCCAGCACCCTCGGAGGCGGCGGTGCAGGAGGAGCAGC